AGTATTTATATATACTATACTTAGAAATAACAAAAAAATACATAAGTACTATATCATACTATAGAATTCTACTAGAAGTTATCAAGCTGTATTTAGGTCTAAAAAATATGAAATTTTAAAGTCGCTAAGGTCTTATATATATTTATTATTTTTATTATATTGGCCTTTCAGCCATGCCTGGCTAACACCACAGAAGTTGCAATAATGTGTCACACGTGCACTCATATAAAAGGGTTTCACACGTAAATACTTTGCAAAGGCTCAGAGAACCACGTGGGGGACATTCTGAGCTTTTGATTGGTTATTCACGCATCATAGACAGAAGTAGGTGTATGTAAGAAAGTGTTTCCAAAAATGTAAAGAGGTGGGTGCGGCCACTGTGTTTGATTCCAGTAAATGTAGCGATATCTCAGCAACTAGAAAAGATAGGAGGTTCTTATTTTGCTTGTCAATTTCAGTAATTTGAGTTCCTAATTCATAAGAAACTATATACTTTGTACTTGGACATCACAAACATCTAATTTGAACCGATGATGCATTCAACGTAACACATGACACACAAAAATCAATATTTAAGATTTCTTTTTTAATATTTACTTCTAAATTAAGAAATTAACTAATGGGTCATACTAACATTTGAATTTTATCTACAGTTTAATACCAAATTTATTAACATACATTCATAAAATAGTAGTTCAATTAAATTTGTAATGCAAGTCAACAAACACGATATGACATGGTCTCTGATCCATGACCGATAGTAATAGGATTAAGTAATCAGTTGAACGTACATAGAGAAATAAAGTCTAGTCATACTGTTTTCTGTTTTAAAAATGTGTAATTTGAAGATAGTTGTCTGAATAATTGATGCAAGATCTTTAAAAAAGGAAATTAATATAGTAAGTGGTTTATAATGTGATATGTAGAGAGAGTAAAGCATGATGAATATTTCAACATAATCTATAATAATAGAGCCTGTTTGTGTGTGTGTGTGTGTGTGTGTGTGTGTGTGTGTGTGTGACTGCCATAGCTCCAAGTAGAAAGAACATAGACACCTGAAACTTTGCACACATACTGGCGAATTATGAGAATATGCACATGTGAATTATTTTTGTAGATTTGACTCAAACAAATTTGGGCCAATTTTTTTGTCCTATAGTTTTGTCCCATAGCCCTTTAGCCCCATAATTCTGCTTGCTGAACATCTATAGAAAAGTATCATATTTTTTTATGATTCTTACTGAATGAACAATTTGTGGAGGTTTTCTGCCAAATGCTGTTGAAAAAGATCAAAATGGTTAATAAATTGGGGAAAAAAATGAACAAAATACAATAGGGTATGGGTCCAAACATTTCTTAGCCAGTCAAAGGCAACACAAAAGGAAAAGGTATAGGGTCCTCCCAGGACCCATGGAATAGACCATCAGAACAGTAGAAATGGTTCAAATAGATAAAGTTTAGCAAATGACATCAAGGATAACAAACTTGCAAAATGCTGTGATAAAATTTGACAGAAATATGTGATATAAAATGTGATGAGAAATTCTCAGTGCAGTGATAAAATATTAAGATGTAAATAAATAATTCTTAACTTACAGCAAAGATTTGTTTATTATACAATAAAATTGATGACTTTTATAGGCTTCTGGGAAAAACGAAATCTCTGTAAAGATTTTTGGCTGTGTTTGATGCCTAAAATAGCTTCAAAATAAACACACAGACACAGTCACCCAGTAAAATATCAATCTAATAACCCGAATGAAGCTGAGTACCATGGCTAGTAGTACTTCAGTTGGAAAAGATTGCCCATATGTCATATTTGTGCATTTTTGTTGTGTAATGTTTATTATTGTAATTGATGGTAATTAAAAAGTTATTGATACTAATGAAATCCATTTGGGCATCCATCAATTATTAATTTTTGTTGTGTAATGTTTATTATTATAATTTATGATAACTAAAAAGTTATTGATACTAATGAAATCCATTTGGGCATCCATCAATTGTTAATTTTTGTTATGTAATGTTTATTATTATAATTGATGGTAATTAAAAACTTATTGATACTAGTGAAATCCAATCGGGCATACATCAATTATTAATTTTTGTATTGTAATGTTCATTATTGTAATTTATGGTAATTAAAAAGTTATTGATACTAATGAAATCCATTTGGGCATCCATCAATTATTAATTTTTGTAGCTTTAATTGGAAATAAGTCTCCAAGAATTTTAAAAAAAGATTATCTTGTGAGCATTTTTATATCGTTTGCCAATATTATTATAGTTATTTTTGCATTTATGTCTTTCATTAGTAATTAATTTTCATCTCTTCTGCTTTTAATTGAAATTTCTTGTAACTGTTTTGCTTCTAGAAACAAGGTCATTGCTTGTTCACATAGTCAAAACAACACAGCATCAGTTTCCTGCTGAGTTTGATGGGGTAGTTGCTAATCTTCCAGCTGAAGGAGCTGAAATCTTAAAAGCTGTCATTTTGAATACTTAACAAAAAAAATGATATCTCTATAGTTTACATTTTATTACTTTATACTGGTTGATATTACTTTCTCAGTCCTGATATTGTGTGTCACTGAATTAAAAGTTTTATTTACATAACAGTTTGAGCATATTAAAAGTTTGATACTGTGTATTAGAAACTGACAGTTATTTGTCAGAGGACCACTGTATCAGTTGAAGTGATATGAAAAAACATTGCTTCAGTGTTAGCATGAGTTTTTATAATTTAAGGTTATCATCTTATTTTGTTTAGTAAAAAAGAGAAACATTAATCCGTAACTTTGTTACTATACTTTAAGTTACATTTTTTTAATGTAAAGCAGAAAACATTTAATCTTATTTTTATGAATTGCAGTATGTAGTTTGAACTTGTTTGAGATAATAAATTTAAAGTTTATAACTTATTTATATGGAGTTTAGTGACCTTTTTATTATTTTTAAGATATAAAGTTTATAAATGTATTGGAGGTTTTAGGTAAAATATTATTTACAATGACCTTGATGAAAAGAAATTATATAATACTTTTGGATGTGTTCTTAACTAAAACACTTGAATTTCGATTCAATTCATAAAATGCAGTTCAAGAATGCCATACATATAATTTGGAATAAAAGACATCAATAGATATAACAAAATTTTAAGACAATGTAAAATTGTTGCTAGTTTTATTACATCAAAGCTGTAAAAATGTATTTTTGAACGTCAATGTAATATATAAATCGATGAAGGAAAAAAAAAATATATATATATATATTAATGAATATTTTTATCTGTACACAAATTTATCTATACCTTATGTTGTTAATAAAAATGTAAGTGTACTAACATGATCTAAATTAAGTGGAAATTCACTTGCACAGTATTTATACAAACATACTAGGAAGAATCATTTAATTTGGTATTAACCATGAAAAGTATGTGATAAGTAATTCTTCCTAGTATGTTTGTATAAATACTGTTTAATTTGGTATTAACCATGAAAAGCATTTGGTAAGTGATTCTTCTTAGTATGTTTGTATAAATACTGTTTAATTTGGTATTAACCATGAAAAGCATGTGGTAAGTGATTCTTCTTAGTATGTTTGTATAAATACTGTTTAATTTGGTATTAACCATGAAAAGTATGTGATAAGTGATTCTTCATAGTATGTTTGTATAAATACTGTTTAATTTGGTACTAACCATGAAAAGTATTTGGTGATTTTACTTACTTTTATTTTATAAATACTGTTTAGTTTGGTATTAACCATGAAAAGTAAGTGATTGTTCTTAGTATGTTTGTATAAATACAGTTTAATTTGGTATTAACCATGAAAAGCATGTGGTAAGTGATTGTTCTTAGTATGTTTGTATAAATACAGTTTAATTTGGTATTAACCATGAAAAGCATGTGGTAAGTGATTGTTCTTAGTATGTTTGTATAAATACAGTTTAATTTGGTATTAACCATGAAAAGTAAGTGATTCTTCTTAGTATATTTGTATAAATACAGTTTAATTTGGTATTAACCATGATTCTTCCTAGTATAAGTATAAATACCATTTAACTTGGTATTAACTTTGAAAAATATCTGGTAATTTGGTACTACTGCCACTAAATTATATATACATGAGAAACTTTTAATTATTTCCCAGAAAGGGGCCAAAACCACCTGGAGGGGTTACTTATTTTAACCACTCTACAATAGTGTGTTATCTGTCAGTCAGTAGACAGTAAAATGACGTCACATAAATAACACCTAACGTTGCAATTTGTACTGTTTTGACGCCAGTAAAACGTGTGCATGCCGTGAGTCACGAGAAGAAATATGCACTGTGTAGGCTACAATATAGCATGACATATGAACTTGAAAAGCAAGAAATAAAAATATTTGTTACTCTTAATTTTGGTTTTATTTAATCTTTAAACAGAACACTTTTGTGGATGTAAATCTAGTATAGTATAGTTTATTAAGCTAAGAAATATTGATCTCTTACTAAACACACCTTCCTAAAGTAGTTGTTTGTGTTAGATTTTCTAAACATTAGCTATAAATAAAAAGTTGTCCAAATAAATCTTACTTCAAGAAATAATTTATCTTAAAAAACTTTAGCTTCGTGTTAAAATTTCATTAGACTTTTAGGCTGCCCAATAATTTACCTTATTAATATAATTATGGTTTATTAGCCGTCTTTGAATCGATAGGTTTTTTGATATTTGTTTTTTTTTCTTTGACATGCAGGCTGTTAAATAGCTAGCACAAAAATTTATATTTTAGTTTCTTATAAAAGTTTTTATCTTCAACTATATTTCACCTTTTATAAGGTGTGATATATTCCATCCATAATCAAGTTCTGTTTTTTAATACTGCTTATAAAGTCAGGTGTAGAAACATGGAAATTGTACTCAGGTTATTTTCATGCATTTATTACTACATCAAGTAATAATGTAAAGCTAGCAGGAACCGCATCACAACAGTTTCTCATCTGCTTAAATGTAAAATTAATCATGTATCTTTAAGTTGTCAAACAAAAACTTAAAAGATAATCGTTTTGCCAGGTTTCAGAATGTCTTAAGTCGTGTGAAGAATAAAAACCCATACTTCAATTCACAAACTTAATTTCTATTGAGAAAAGCCTACCACTAAAAATAAAACACATATATTTAGATACAAAAATTAATAGCCAAACTATTTTCTTAAACGGGGTATCATGACAATTTCTTTTAATTGTAATAGTTTTTAATATTTCAAATCCTTGCCCCACAGATCATATAATAATTTAACTTAGGAATTTAGCTAGTTACATATGATTATCAGGATTTTTAGTGCTAGCTATCTTTGATGCGAGTTTTATCTAACATTTTATAACAAGCTACATCAAATAGAGAATGTGAAAATATTTCCATAAGGATCTCTTGTAGGTGATGACAAAGTATACACACAATATTTTGTTTTTCATGAAATACTAGAATTTGACGTAGAGGCTTAATATATTCTTTCATGATATTATAAGAGAAAATTCCGTTTACAAACGCCCACATTTCAGAAGTGTTGTTTTATCCTACTGTAATTTAAGAAGTTTGTCCTCTAATTCTCCTATGCTTTTGCATTTAGTCTTGTCAAATATGCTTTAACCAACTAAGAATTATATGGGGTGTGCAAAAAGAAGTTATTTCGTAGCTCCAGTGATGGCTAAGTATAGATCGGTCAGTGTACTGACTGGATTTATCCAGTTTTCTCTTTCATAATGTGAAGTATGTATATGGTCTATTTGTTTTCAATTACAGTAACATTTACGACAAAAACGGAAACTATTTATATTCATTACTGATATAAAAAAAATTGATTATACAACTTCTATAAAATCAACAAATGCGTCATATAAATAATTTACCTTTCATAAATCTCTCGTGCATAACAAGGGTACGTCTACTTTCCTATAGGATTGCTTACCTCCTCTCACAGTTACAGCTATTCTCGACTTAACAGCCTTCTAGTGCGAAAATGTTTGCTTGCCATTATCCTTGAAAATTCCACCTAATTACACGTGGTTCAACTGCATTTAAGCATGCAAATTAGCATGTGACAAACCTTCCTATCGCAGCTGACTCCCTCTATGCGGTTGAAACCAATTTTTACTTCCTGATTTGGCACATTAGTGTTAAGACCTAGTGCTTGTTTTAAAAATAAGTTTTTCTTTAGTGCATTTTGATAATATTTAGTTACAGATTTTCACATTTTAAAATATTGTTTATAATCCCAAACCAAGTTGGGTTTCTTTATTTGATTGTGAATTATATTCTTCACTCGATTATCGGTATTCAGTCAATATTTATGAATTCGCAATGTAATAATATGACTATAGTGACAACTGATGGTGCCGGTGATCAACAGCCTGCGACAAAAGTTGTAGGTGTGGCATTATTGGCAGAGGAAGTGTTGGCCATAGTCCATCGGGAGATGGTTATTTTTAATGCGGGTCAAGGAATCTCATGATCTTCAAGCACTTCTTCCATTACCTGAGGATTTAGATAAGAATGCTACAGACCCGGACAGCCTTTTCCCAACTTCTTCCATTTCTGTCCCCATCCTTCCTGGACCACATTGTACCATTGTTCACCGACACCCTGTAATACGTCAGCAGTACCGATGACTACCCTATGGATTTGGGTCCTGTGGAAACCAGGCTTGCTCATTTCTCAGAAATTGGGTCATTCGAGTTTTATCAGAAAGATTCACCATCCTTTTCCCCCTGAAGATCCCATTTCTCACCAGTATCTGGCAGAAGTGGTTTAAGATCTTCTCATCAAGGGTGCCATTGAACAGGTTTCTCCTGTGCTTCCAGGATTCTGTTCCTGACTTTTGTCATCCTCAAGAAGACTGGGGACTGGCATCCTATTATCGATCTTTCTCATCTGAATTACTTCCTCGATGTCTCTCAGACGAGTTTTTCTTCCAGGGCTTTGGATGAGGAGATTCAACATGTTTGATGCTTATCTTCACATCCATATTGCTTGGGCTTCATGTCGTTATCTATGTCTTGTCCACGAGGATCACGTTTATCAATTCCAAGCTCTTCCTGTCAGACTGGCACTGTATGTTTTCCTATTGGTGGAGGACTATCACATGCTAAAACGCAGCTGAACCACGTGGAATTAGGTGGGAGTTTCAAGGCTAGTGGCCAGCAAATAGTTGAGCATTAAAGGGCAGTCAAATCAAGAATAGTTGTAACTGTGAGGGTAGGTATATATCTATTGGAAGTATATTTTCAGTGTAGGAAAATATTAACTTAAAATTGACTGTAAGTCATATATACACAAACCCAATTAAAATATGACCAATCTCTAAGTTTAATTTGCCGTTGTTTTCACATGTTATAAGAGGTCTTTCCGCTAATATTTGTGTTTTTGCTTATTAATGTTACATTTCTAATGTTTTGCAAGCTATTCAAAGCATAAAATATCACAAGCATGCACAGGTTATGACGAAATATATATACACATACACACACACAAAAAGTTTTGAATGGAATAGAAAAAGGATAATTTTTTCAATATACTGTTGTTATAATTCATTTTTGGAAAATATATTAATAAAATCATTATTTATAACAAATTTCCCGAAGCAAAATGAATATATGCATTTACAGTCATATAATAGGTATTCATGTTTGTTTAAAATACGTAGCATGCAAAGTGTTTTGTTTTTCGAATAAGACACAGATAATACATTTATCAACTCACATTTTAATTCAATAAATAAATGAAAGGCTCACTTTGCAGACAAAAGTTCCATTTCATGGATCATCTTTCGGATATCTATAGTTATCAGAACGTTATTTTTATGTAACAAGTACGAGTTTAGCCCTACTACAGAGACATAAAACTATACACTTTACATGTTATACACAGTCTCAAGATCATAAAACCATGTTTCTTTATTGTTGGTTTTATAAACGTTTACTTAGTGATTTCTTAATATTATGTTCAGTTGCTAACTAACCCAAAAGAAATAAAACATCTTTTAATACAACTACATTTTATTTTTTACAGTTCCATAGATGAGACACTTCCATTTGCACCGTAAATTTGAAGGGCATATTTTTAAGTGAATTTTAATACTGCGTGTTATGGCCTTACATTTAACACTTTGAACATGATAATAAACAAAATACATTTTGGTTATCAAATTGAAATACGTAATATTCTCATTTAATATGGGTTATTACTTTTGCAATAGGCTAAACATCAAAACTGTCTTTGCTCTTCATTTCTACGTATTATCAATATAGCTTTCAATGATATATTTACACATGCAGTAAAAAATTCTTGCTATAACGTTCCATAATACAACTAATTCAAAGATATAAAATAATTATCTTCTGTATCGTGCACTACGATAATAGCAACGACATTCACTATTATATATAATAATGCTGATTTAAATATTTTAATTAACTCTGTCATTACACTGGAACATAACATCAATCACAGAGCGTACTTTATTTCTTGTCTTGTAACGTATTGTTGGCAGCTCCAGAATTTCAAATTGAATTAGCAGTACTAGTAATTAATAGTCAGTGAAATAATGCTTAGAAACTAAACCTATTTTTGAAAAAAACAAATAAATTATCTCTCGTGTGGCTTGCAGAAACAAATAATGTACTCTACGATCAGCCATTAGAGATTTGGTATAAACATTTGAGGTGGAATTTCACAAGTACGAAAATTCTGATAGCTTCAATATAAAATGAAAGGAGTTTAATTTAAATAGCTACATGAAGTTAATCATATGATGTTTTTTGTTTCAAGATAGGAGGTTTTACAACTAGATTATCGATTGTATCATATTCTGTCAAAGAGATCGCCTAGTAGGACAGCGGTAGGTTTACGGACTTGCAAAACTAAAAGCCGGGGTTCGACTTTCCGTGGTAAATAACCCAATGCGGCTTTGCTCTAAGACAAACTGTTGGAGAGTTTTCGGTGGTCTTCGTTGACCATATTAATGAAATATAAAAATAACGAGCGTTTATATTTATTTTACACTTAATCAATATCAAACCGCTAGGTAAATGGAATTAAAAGAACTTATTTGAAGCATATATAAAAAGAGGAAAAAGTAAGTTTCCTAATATATATATATATATAAATATATATATATAGTTTTTTTTCGATTACTTCTCTAGTTATACGCGGTTGAAGAATTTTTTTATTTACATGCAAATGTTTGTAAGAAACACTTAATGAAAATTTTGCCACAAATTCTACATTAATAATAATATGCTTCTGCGTTATCTACAAGGACAGGGGTACTCTTATGTCACATGTCGGTCAGCTTTTCTGATTGGTTTAAGCTCAACTTTAAATAAATGGCCTTTATAAAATTCCAAGCAAGATATAAGTGTTTATTTTTATAGCGTATGTCTATTGTACAATAATTTATCCAAGTCGTGAGTTTTTTACGGAAGCACAAAAATTAATATGACATGCGAATAATAATGTTTACACTATTAAACCAATATACTCAACAACTGTGCAGAAAAGGTATATGTGGCGCTTGTGTAGTTTTGAATTGTTTGTTTGTAGTTAAGCACAAAGCTACACAATGGGCTATCTGTGATCTGCCCACCACGGGTATCGAAACCCGGTTTCTAGCGTTGTAAATCAGCAGACATACCGCTGTGCCACGGAGGGGGGGGGCATAATTTTGAAAGTGGTTAACTATAAAGAATAATGTACCAGTTCTTGTTAGCAGACATCAATGCCACTTCCGATATGCAATCTTTGTCTGCATTTCTTGTTATAAACTTCAAAAAGCTTCCAATACATTTTTTCTGAATAACTATATAGTTTTGACTAAGTACATGACATGTCACCGCGATAGCCCACGAAACCTATCTATACAAATGTATGTACACAATTTAACGTGTAAATGCACTGTCATTGTAGCATGTATTAACATACATTATAAATCTTTCTCCGACACTTCATTCCACTGAGCTAATGTTTATATTCAGTATTATCATATTACACAAGTAAGCATTTTTATATTTCTTAACTTACACTAAACTCTTGCCATCAGATGTTGGCCTGTTTCTCAGTTCTATTCATTGTTTTTGGGCTAGGACTATTTTGATCATTAGTCGGGGTCGAGGCCTTGGCGACCTTGGAGGTTTCAGAAGAAATGGTGGTGATAGGAGTGGATCCGCTGATGTTGTTTCCGCAAATTTTGTGGTGGCTTTCCCAGTCTCGATGTTGACAAAATGAACCACAGTATCGTGCTACCTTACACCCACTACAAGTCTCGTTTGCCTTTCTTCCACAGTTCCAGCAATTCTAAGGAAAAGACAGATCAACTTAATAACATACACTAAGAGACAGACAGGGAGATAGATATGGTCTTAAAGGTTTAAAGAAACTTAAAACGTGTAATTCAGTAAAATTATATTTCACCTTCTAACAAAACGGTATATGTTTCTGCATAATTAAATTGGTTCTCCCAAGTTACAAATAAAAACTGGACATTTTCGTTAATTTTGTTTTTGTTTTAGCACAATGCTACATAGTGGGCTGCCCGCGCTTTTCCAACGCGGGGAATCGACCCCCGAATTTTAGTGTTGAAAGTCCTTAAACTTGCCGCTGACCCATCAGGGGCACCACCGATTTCTAAACGAGTTTCCAAGTATTATACAAATAGGCTTTCCAAAGCAACCGACCTTTCTTGCATAGAAGTGAATTGAGAATAGTTTCATAAGTTCGAAATAAACAGTTTAATCGAGAAAAGATTACCGTATTTTTTACACAGGCAGAAACTTTTCTTGTACAAAAAAAAAATTAAAATTGATTTTTCATCTATTTTGGTTTATTTTAATAGTTCACTTTTTTGGGGTATAATAAAACCAATTTTGTGCATGATACGTAACTACCTTATTTTATACAATTATTAGTGTGTGCTACGAAGTGACGGTTTAGTATATTTCAATCTTACTGTTATTACAACTAAAGCTAATTACTTCTTTGGAATCTTATTGGTAATTATTACATAATTCAATACTTGGTTCCCAATGTTATTGTTTACTATTACATGTTGAAATACTTATTGCCTACTTGCTAAACTGCTTTCTTCATCGGAAAATTATTATTGATTCTAAAATTTAAGATGTATTATTTCTTTGATATTCCTGTTGACAGCCTAACATTACACTACGCTTTTTCCTGGAATCTTAATGGTTTTATTATGTTGGGAAATTTACTTTTTTAAGTATTTTCAGTGGCTGCAATGCTTAATTAATAACAAACAATGCCTATTTTACTCAGAGCATGATGGATAGGATCACGGCTAATTATACTTTATTTCTGTAGCCTTTTTATTGGTAACCAAACACAAGTTTAGTTTCTTCTCCATAGAATCAACTTAGTAACCAACACACCCTAGCTGCCGTAGTACTATAGTATCTTCTTGTTCATAATAACACGATAGTTTACTTACTTTTGTACAGTATTCTTTGTAATAACAACACGCTAGTTTACTTACTTCAGTACAGCATTCGTTGTGATTCTTGGTTATCCACACACTAGTTTCCTACTTCTGTACAGTAGTCTTATTGTTAGGTACATGTTAGTGTACTTACTTTTATATAATACTCTTATTAATAATCACATGCTATATATATATATATTATTTTTTTTTTCTTGCCTCTGTTAAAGCCAACCTGTTGAATTTTGTCTCAGAGTATCAACGCAGCTGAGCGACAGGTAACCTTTCTAAAATTTTAATTCATACTTTTATCAAATCTTTACCTAAACACATGAAAGATATCTTTTCTCTCTCGTATTAAAGGCCCTCGAATAATACTCCTAGAAAAGGCTGTAGTTGGAAGGTTCGCCCATCAGAATGAACCACTATTACCATCATCATCGGGTGGATTCGCAGTGGAAAATAAACGCTGCTGAATTCGCAGCTGATGCATGGGAAGGTTTTGCAGTTGATAACTCTTTGGCCGACGCTTTATATCTAGAAAATTTCCTACAATAGTCTCCAACTGCCAATTCTTGCTAACAAAATGCTCAGAATATACATCGTAGTAACATGTAAGATGGTTAGTATCCAGATTAACTACTAGAAGATACATCACGAAGCGTGGAAGCTGGCAATGAGACTGGATCACCATCACTACTGGTCTGTCTCAAGAATACACTCTCGCCTGCTCTTTTCAACATCTACACATGGAACTAGCCCGCTTTGACAGTCTAATATCGTGTGGCAAACTTTGCTGACGACGTTCTACTATACAGCTGATGCTCTAGCAAAGCTGAAATTGAAAGCAAGGTGTAATCATCCCTTATCAAGGTGAGCAAATGGTACAACGATACGACAATAATCATCAATCCTGCCAAAGTCAGAGCCATATTCTTCACACTCAACAACAGATGTGCTGATGACGATAACCTTGGAGACACTGCTATCTCTCTGTAAGAAACAATGAAGTACGTGGGGCAATCTTGGACAAAGAACTAACTGAACTTCACCAGCCACATTAATACCATGATAACCAAATCTACCAAAAGTACATCAATGCACTAAAAGTTTAAGCAGGAAATTTGATTCAAAAATGTCACCTGCTAATGCTCTTTCAAACTCTAATCTGCATCCTCCTGGATTATGCATCACCAATGATCAGTATAGTGCTATGCAGTTAGGTAAAATTGAAAAGATACAAAACTTGTTTAATACTAGTCACGAGATATACTTCAGCTACTCTAACAATGCCTTATTACAAACTCATAAGCTTAAACAATATTGCAGAGAACCAATAATACTTTCAAGCAAATTTTTCGTTGAGCTTTGCAGTGTAAAACCACCCATTTCATCAGTGAGCCAGTTCCCTTCTCAATTGATATATTCTAGCTTCACAATAACCAAGCAGGGGATTACTTAAATGGTGGCTCAGGAGAGAGTGGTTGGTGGGGAGATGCTACACAATCTCCAACAATACATGTCGTTACCAGAAGACCTCAGATGCGCCCATGTAGAGTAAACATATGGCACCACTGAGATCAGTGGATATCAGCCTAGACAAATATTTTAGAGATTAGGTAGATGGTGAAGCAGAGTAAGCCCATCAGCACCTACCTGAAGACCACATTGAACAGTAACCTGTCATCAATGTCACAAATTTCCTAAACCACAGCCAGCAAAACAGCTGCATAAGGCTGGTGAAGCATTCAAGCTTCCCACAAGCAGCACAAAAACGAAGCTAGATGTCGTAAGGCAAACTCTCTCTTGCATTGTTAAAAGCAATAAACTAAAGACACACAGTGCCGCCAACATAACATTTGTAACTAAGTCGCAGGCATTACTATGTAAATTTAAAAATGATTGATCTCTAGATGGATGGCGGAAAACAAAACAAAACTGCATGGTATGACCATCATTGTGGATGTGTGTGCTAGGCCATGCAGGTAAAGCTAAGATAGGAAGCTGACAAGCTCATAAGAGAAGCCATTTTACCAAATCTGACCATATCTAGTGGTAAGATATAACCTCCTCTGCACTAGTTAGACAAGAGCGGTAACCATGGATGGTCTTTATTGACATGAGACTGTTGGATAACAAAATACCAGAAACTAATAAAATCAAAAGGTAAGAAATAAGCAAGATAGTATGCAAACAACAGAAAATATCTTTTACCTACTACGAAGAAGCAAGCTTCCTCATGAAGAGTCAGCACTTGTCGGTGGAACCTTTGGAATTTTCACATACACTCAACTTAAGTCTCTCTTTTTTCAATAACCACACCCTAGTTTATGTATCTCTGTAAAATCCTCTTATTTATGACTACATGCTGATTTACGTACTTCTGTAGAATCTTCTTGCTAATCACAAAATAGTTTACCTAACTTATTTCAATATTATTGTTGATAACCTCTGGCTAGTTAAGTATTCTTGTTGACAACAAATTACTATAGCTTACTTACTTCTGTAGAATCTTCTTGCTGATTAATAGAAGCCAAGGCCTCTTCTGATCCTTGTCGTCTTGCTTCTGATATAAGCCTCTCCATTTTTGTTCTTTCCACTGCAAGCAATTCGTTGGCTTTAGATTCTGCTGCAGAAACAGCTTTCTGAAGTTCAGTGACAGCCTGACGTTTCATTTCTTTCACAGCTTCTTCTGAAAACAATCAACTAGTCATAGACAATATAAAAACAGCTGTTTTTGTCACCATTCACTAAAAGGTTTGGTTACCTCAGTAGAGAATAGAACAACTATCATACGGGGAGAATTCATTTACATAATTATATAAATACGCGATTTAGTTGCTAGACATATTTTATATCATACAGCAGAACTTTATTGGTTTAAGAAAACACACATAGCTTGGGCAGTAATCATTTACTATTATTAGGTAGTAGGGGCAGATTGGCCTACTGGGACACCAGGGAATTGCTTGTTTAGCCAGTATGCAATATGTTAAAAATTATTGGGTCTCTGTTAATGATATTGACCGGGCTAATCCTTTAAAAGTCAATCCACCCTTGTTGGGTATATAATATACAGATATCGTTGTGTGTTTTATAACGTGAGTAGTAATAGTATGGTCCCATATTTGGGAAATGAAACCTAGAAAATAGTTGAAAAAGCATTTTTGAGTAGAATGTGGTACATGGCAATTTTTATATATAACTTGTACCTGCAGATTCTGAAAACGTTGTGTACCATTTTGCGTTTTCGATCTAAAAAGAAACAAATAACAAGATGGACACCAAATATAATACAAGTTTCTATACTTTCTGACCTGCTCGAGTTATAAAGATATCTTAAGATTATTTACTGTCATTTTAGGCATCCAGAAATTCAATAAATGAAAAGTGTAGGACTTAGCATTGAGTGTCATATGTAAAAAGTCATAGTCATTTGTTCAAGATAGCTGTCACATAAAAAAACAGATCACTAAAACATTTTATCTAAACAAAATATTAAGACCTTTTTGGAATATTGAGGCATCAGGCAATCCACTAAAGCCAATACGTAACGCACAGTCTTGGACCTTTAATCTCATTTTTGAAAGGTCATAGTTTTACCATAAGATAAACTCAGCATAAAAAGAAAAAGTTGCAACTTCACGCCATTCCAAATACAAATGTAACTGTAATTTAGACTATATTGTGATATTATAAACGTCTATAAATCCAATGAAATACAAAATTAAATTATTGGATTAACACTTTAAGGTCCATTCCAAAAGATCAAGGTCATATTCCTTAATATATTTATTCATATTATGTTATATTAGCTTCCCAGAACAAAACTTTAGGATGATCAACTTATAGCAGTTTCAAGCTGCAAGAGTTTAACTTAAAATCATGTTTGCTAATGCTATGCTTAACCTAAGATTAAATGCAGACAAGATTTGGTAGGTTTCTGACAAAATAGATACAGTTTGCAATATGTTAGCTTCGAAAGTTTGTTGGACCATTACCAGAGCTACAGTTTAGTACTGAATTAGTGATAGCAGATAATTCTAATTCACTGGATTTGCCTTTAGATACAAACCATGAATAACATGATTTGTACCATTAAGGGGCTTATCTGATCCGAAAGCATTTATAACTCTTTCTCTGTATTTAATAACCACATTTTGTGCCAGTTGTTAGCACCTTCATGTACTTTTGTTCTCCCTATGACAACCATTAATTCGCTTGCCTTTTCTGTTACAATGATATATGACGTATGCAGAATACATAATAGGGAATGGTCTCTTACGACTGATAATTGGTTCCGTTGTCTCGTTTGTTTTGGGAACTACTTGTTCTTTGGGTTTTCAAGTTTAGAAACTCACAGGGTCATTACACTCGTACTTGACCAAAGATTTGAGCATGGTTACTTTTGGTCACATATTATACTACTCTATTTGAGCTTTGGGTAGAATACTCCTTGGGCCGATAACTCTAATTGTGTCTTGATTCAACTGCTCTTGAACGCGGGTACTCTACTACTCTATTTGGGTCTTTGGTTGATTACTGCACTACTCCAATCACGCATCATCATTTTTTGCTGTAGTATCGTGAACACCTTTGGGTAAGGAAGTGGATACTGTATCATCATTTTTGGCTGTAGTATCGTGAACACCTTTGGGTAAGGAAGTAGATACTGTGCGCTTGTTCCGTTTATTGTGCTAGTTGAGTCACAAACACCACATTATTAACACTACATGTGTACAGCACTACACTACTCTTGCTCCTGTGAGACTACTGACAATACCGGGCAAGCAGGGGCGACTGGTTCGCTATTACTGACATGATGAATTTCAGAGAGAGTATTCATTGTGGTAGTTAATATGCCCAAATCCGAGGTACATGAAAACACAGTTGCTCACCAAACAGAACAAGTCGACAGTTTTGTTCTATTTACAACAAAACTAATTGTTAAAACCCAGAAGTGTAGACAAACTTCTCTAGTATTATCCACTACAGACTTTAAGAAGGAGAACCTCCAAACAAACGTGGACAAATCTTATACAGACATTCCTTAAAGATGGAATACTGGAAGACAAGTCATTAAACTGAAAATTGGTCAGTTTGAAGTATTCACCGTTATTTAGCTCGTGGGGCCTAATAAAATCTATTCAACCGCATGTTTCTGCTGCTGCGTGTGTGTTCTACATCTGGCACGAGTGGAGGTACGAAGTGCTTTCTGTCTAGGCAACTTTTATAGCACTGAACTTCAGTAGGGGGTGAGAATATCACACATATCAATACAGTGGTCCAGCATTTAGCTGAATAGTCTTTGAGTACAACACAATTGGCGCAACTGACGTCGTTGAACCTGACGTTTAGTCTTGCAAACATTTAGAGATTTTACATTGTGGTTTGCTTGAGGCTGCATCAGGAGGGGAACGTGAAGCATAAACATAGATTGAGTCACTGCTGTCAATTTCACTGTCAGCTGTACGGAGATCATCAGGCAGGTAGTGTCTGGAGTAATCGTACTGTTGACAGCATTTGGTATAAATTACACCTTTTTTTTGCAGGGGTCTTCTTAGCTCTTCCAAGATATCATCTTGATTAAGAATTATGTAGTTCTGATATGCGCCTTGTCTCGTTAGGCTCAAGTTTCCACGACAACTCTCACTCCTCAGTATGATTAAATGATGTATTGCTAACATTACTTCAGTGTGCGCTTTATAAACGACCCAGTAACAGTATGGTAAAACATCGTTGAGTCTATGAAAACAAAAATGTATGAAGTCCATAGGATAATGTACTTTCTTACGTGTAACCATGCAATTGACTCAGATGACAAAGTTGCATATTCTTTTGATGAAAAATTATTAGTCTAGATTTGTTTCAATGTTGTACATTTTCCTCGCAAAATGAAAGGTTCAGATACTTTGAAATGTGCCAAAAATGACATTTTAAGGCAAACATTAGTTTTTATCATTGCCATAGTTTGCATCCTAAACCATAACTTCAGTCTAATTGTTGATTTTTTATTGCAACATACTGATTAGTTTATATCATATGCTTCTACTGCTACTCTGTTGCGTCCTTCAAGAACGTTCTGGAAAGTGCTGTGTTGTGATGGTGCTGGAATTTAATCCTGGGTCTATTTTGTTCGTTTAATTTATGTGCTACCTATTTGTTCAGGAATTTGTAGAAAATACAATGATTCGGGTAAATACCTCGACTATAAAGACAATGTAAGGACACCAGTCATAAACTGTCTAGTTTCAAGATTTATAGTGCAAAAAATTCTAATAAGAAAGAAGAAAAACACCTCAGTACAATCCTACTGGATAATGAATACCCTTAACATATGACAAAGAATAAAATAAAAAAGATAAACACCAAGAATATATAGAAAGGAAACATAAGACATTCGGTGACATTTCCCTATGTCAAATATATTTATAATTATACAGAGAATATGGAAACAGGATATTCGTAACATTATCCTGCAGCCACCACACAATACGATCGCCGTTAGTACATAAACCACCTAAAAGTCTAGTTGAGAGCAAAACCATCACATGCACGGTCCTTTGTAAACGTGGACTCTAACACACTGGAAAAACAAAGATTTGAATTTGGGATCATAACAGACATTAATTGGTTTGTTGTGAATTTCGCGCAAAGCTACACGAGGGCTATCTGTGCTAGCCGTCCCTAATTTAGCACTGAAAGACTAGATGGAAGGTAACTAGTCATCACCACCCACCAACGAATAGTGGGATTGACCGTCACTTATAACGCCCCCACGGCTGAAAGGGTTTGGTGGGACGGGTGGCGCTAGCCGTCCCTAATTTAATAGTGTAAGACTAGAGGGAAGGCAGCTAGTTATCACCACCCACCTCCAACTCTTGGACTACTCTTTTACCAACGAATAGTAGGATTGGCCGTCACATTATAATGCTCCAACGGCTGAAAGAGCGAGCATGTTTGGTGGGAAGGAGATTCGAACCAGCGACCCTCGGATTGCCCTAACCACCTGGCCAAGACTGTAATACCGATCTATCTACAATAGCGTACCATGCCAAAAAAACTCCATACAATAAAATGTACTAATACTAAAATAATGGGATGTGCACCATATAAGAGAGATATAAAAAAAAAGTTTTATATTTGCTTAACTGATGAAAAAATCAGTCAAAAGGTATTATAGACATTACAAATCCTGGATATCCGTCTTTAAAACATCCAAAGACTTAAATAACTGACAACTTTAATGGATGGGAGGTCGAAAGAGTAGATAGCACACCAGCCTTTCTGAAAAAAGATCCATAATCGAATCAGTCCTATCTGAAGATGGCCAGGTGGTTAGGGCGCTCGACTCGCAATCTGAGGGTCGCGGGTTCGAATCCCTGTCACAACAAACATG